TTGATATTTGAAGGTTAACGTCACCGCCCCAGTTTATGCAGTTGTTAAGTTTAGACCCACCAAACAAATTCTGCAGTGCTGGAGAGACACATTCATCATCTTCAAGTTATTCAAATGGATATCGTTTTCCGTGATTGTATTGAGCACCAACAAGGGCGTTAGTCTGATAGTTTATTTCCGAGTTTTACAAATTAAATATACTGACACTGAAAGCAGAGTTTCCTTTGTATCTGAAAAACCAAAACGTAGCCAACACGGATATAGTAACGCTCTAGGAATTCCTGCCATCCTTCCTGAAACCAAACCTTGTTGGCTTTCTTTATGCCTACGGGCCAAACATGACAGTCAGGAACAGTGATAGCAGCAGCAACAGAAAGTTCATCCTGAATTTCTTAACAAGTTATCGGGGATCCTCTGCAGACACCCCAAATCAAGTTATGTTTATTTATCTGATGAATACTAGAACCGGGATTCAGATGGTTTTAGCGAATAATTTGCAGATGAACTTTCATAACATTGTGAGCTTAAACCTCATGCTGGGTGAAGAAAACTACTAATCCATCCTCGTACCTAAAGTAATACTAGCATCAACATGAGAAGTTGGGATCATTTCAAAGAACAAAAATATGCATCATAACACGTATACGGTGGCATAATCATAATTAAAAATGAAATCCATATGTACTTTTTCAAATGACCAAACATCAAGAAAAGGAAAAATATTAAATTAAGATGTAGATGAACTTTCTTCTCTTGCTCATAAAACACTGAAATATCCACATCATTCGAAGCCCTATTTGACGAAACTCACTAGAAGTATAACTCAAAGAGAGATGCCAAACAAATAGATGACAATCAAAAGATTCCTTGTCTAAGTAATATACACCAAGGATGAAGATTGAAATAAATAACACAGCTTGAATCATCGTGCAATTTTCAAATTTAGTACCAATTATTTGTTTCTTTATCTGAAAGATACCTAAGTAATACAGCCACATCGTAGAGAGTATAAACCCTTCATAGAATATGTATTAATCTATATAGATCTTGTTGCACTTCTACTTTTCTGGTTCCAATAGATTTTGATAGTCTTACAAGCATGTGTCTTTTACCCGAGAAAAAACAAACAAGAGTGAATTAGCCTGAGGTACTCTACTAAATCCAACAAATCCAGGAAATACAGAACTTCATTTTACCGTTATATGGACTAGTTGTGTCTTCCTTACTCCCCACAATGCATACAGGAAGATCAAAGCAAATGCATAAAACCTATTAACTTAAAACCAGGCGGACCAGATAAGTCCCAGTATAGAAACTAATAAGCTTTCTTTCACTCACATGCAGGCGAGATAATGGGAGGTAAACTGAAACGAAAAATAGAAAGTTACACCATTCAAATTTTCTTCATCTATAACCTGTTCAATATATAAGAAATAATTGTCACGCCGAATTAGTGAAAAGTTAGGGCAAATCGAGTTCAGCAACAAACATTACACTTCAAAGTACAATACTAACACACTCATATCATCCATAATTGCATATACTAAAATGAAGTCACACACACATATCATGCATCAACAGTTGATCTAAAAAAGCATCTCCACGGCTTCCATTATAGCACCTGCCTGATAAAAGTAACTTTAAGTGAAAATTGAGATTTTGGTTTTACTTTACCTAGTTCATCCAGTAGGCAAACAAACTTCAGAATTATTTGAACAAAAATCATATCACACCACCTATCAAAACTTAAAATAATTTCTTCACGTTTCTCTAATTTTTGTATAATTTCACCTTGTCTTAACCTTCAAATCTTCTCTCAAAAACATACTTCAAAGTTCAAACCACAAAAGGAAAAAAAACCGCAAACAAAAAACTGGGAGGGAAAGAAAAAATAACAAAAGTAACTAATCTCCATCATCCTCTAATTTTCCAAGAGTCAACTTTGTCCCAAAGAAAAACTTCTTCCTCAAATGCTAAATTACCCTCCAAAAGGGGAGCTATCTACCTACTTTTTGCCAATAACAATATATGATAACCCAGATAAAGTAGCATAACAAAAACAAAGCTTAAAGAGCGATAAAGAGTAGCGTAAAAGAAAAAGAATGGTGGCTTTAGTATTTTTACCAGTCTCTTTTCGTGAACGGTGGTGGAGAGAATAAGCTTATGGAAAAAAGTGCGCGACATTTTGGATAAAGGGTCAGTCAAATCATATAATTATGTTGAGTTTCAGTTTGATTGAGAGACTCTTTTCTTTTTTGAAATTATTAAGTGTACATATTACAATCCTACTCTTTCATTTAATATAATTCGCCTGCTTAAAATTCAGGCACTATCAGATAAATAATAACCTTTGACAATCTTAATATACAGTTTAAAAAAATATTATCAATTTTATTATTATTTAAATAATAAAATTGATAAAATCGAAAATATTATTATTTTTATTAATTTTATTATTTTTTTTACGAATTTTGTTATTGTTAGATACTTTATAAAAAATATTAATATTTTAATTAAAAATAATAATATTTTAGATAAATTTTTATCAATTTTATTATTTAATTAATAACAAAACTAATAACATTTTTTTTACTTAGTGCCGCACTGTAAATCTTCCCCACTCCCTGTGTCCAACTAATTCCCTTTGTTTTTAGTAGTAAAAGTTTTTCCTTTTTCGAATAAAGAAAAAGTTTTTTTTCCCTTTTTCACTAACTCACCAACGGTTAATAGCCGGACACTATTAATATAGGGTAAATTACTTCCTTAGTCACTAAATTAGTGAGTAAGTTCTGTTTTGCTCACTAAACTAAAAATATTCTAAATTTAATAATTAATGTTATAGTTTAAAGACAATTTAATCATTACTCGTTAAACTAATAACAGAAGAACGACCGTTTCAATTTTTGAATTGATATAATAACATGTTTAAGTTTTAAACCTAAGATCATCATGACACTCTACAAATTTAATTTTTAACTATTTAAAGATACATTCAGAAGAAAAAATATTTTTAAAATCTATTTTTTTTCACCATTTTTTTAATTTTACTTGTACATTTTAAAAAATACATATCACCATTATACATGAAATTTCAGCCCGAAACAATTAACTGCATTATTTTAACATCACTATTTTGAATTCTCTAGCATACAGTAAAGTTAATATAAAATTAAATAAGGATACGACAGCTTACCTTAACCTAAATAAATTAATCATTACTAATATTAGTACCTTGCAGCTTGAATGATAACTGAAGTTTAGGTCATTTCTTCTTTTAGTCATAAAAAGCCTACTACAGAGTTGGATGAATTAGTCGGATTATAAAAACAAAACAAAACAGCAACAATGGTGAGTTTGGTTGAACTCGTGGTGAGTGAGTTGAGTGGGGAGCACTGAATCAAAAAGGCAGTGTGGATCGAGTCGTGACCCCAGGAGGAAGATCCTTTTATTTATTCCATTTGTCAAAGACAAGGTTTTAAATGTACACGTGTCAAACCAGGGTGAAAAGGGACCACTCCCAGAATCACATGCACAGCAAAAATAAATAAATGCAACTATTACTACCATGGTTTTCATAACCGGATTGATTACCGAACCGGCCATGTTATCGGTTCACTGGTTTAACCGGTCGAATCGATTCGATCAGTCGGAAGAACCGGACGACGTCATAATTATTTAAAAAATTAAATAAAAATACCAAAAATATTTAATAAAATTTTTTTTATATCACAATTCATATTCAAAGCAAGTTATAACATATATAAGTTAAAAACCATAAAATCAAGTGAAACAAAATGATTCAAATTAACTACAACATAATATTTAAGGTAAAACATATTAAATAATAAATATAATTATATAACTATAATTAAAAAATAAATTTGGGTCTAAAAAATCATAACAAAATGATATTGTTTGGTTTAATTTTTTTTTAAAAACAATCCCACATGGCTAAGAAACATAGAAGATCATCCCAACTAACTTCAATCAAGCTCGAATTTTAGGCTTCAATCAAGCTTCTAATTTTTTTTTGAGTTCAAGCCTTTTCGAGTTGAACTTCATAATATTTAGCTCGTGAGTTTGAATTGAATTGAGCTTACTTTTAAAATTTTCAAGTTTGAGTCAAGCTCAGTAATACTCGAGTTCGACTTGGCTCGTTTAACAAACGACGTCGTTTGGTTTAATTTTAAAAAAAATAAAATAAAATTGGCGGTTTTTCCGGTTTTTTCCGATTTTTTCCGGTTTTCAGCCGGTCCGGTTTGAACGGTTCAGCGGTTCTAGCCGATTCACTAGTAGCGGTTCAACCGGTCTAGATTAAATCGGACTAGACAACGGTTCCCGATTGAACCGGTTGAACCGGCCGGTCCGTTTTCAAAACAATGATTACTACTTCATTCTTCATTTCTTGCCAATCAAATAGCTTTTTTAATTATTTTCGAAATTAAACTCTTTTCGTATATATATATATACATATTATAACGATTTTAATAAATGTAATTATTTGTAAAGTTATTACAAGGAATCGATGATAACATATAATTTGGTAAAGCCTTTAATGATATTGCAAAGAAAAGGAAAGACTTGATTCTTATTCAGTCATATATTCTATGTATAAAAAGGGTAATGATTTATTTATAGGATCATCAATATTTCATACACATTGGAAGGAAAAAATTAATTATTTCAATTGACATTATAGAGATATAGATATCATATCATTATTATGCACACAAAAGTACGAATATATATTTATTTCGAATTCGTATTTATTTTTTAGATTTCTGAAATCGCTTGTCACGATTCGAAATAAATAACGGATATCGCAATTTGTTTCTTGAATGTCCAAGCATACATTAACACCAAATTCTAATTTATGTGTGTACTCGTACACTAATCAAAATTCTCACATCACATTACATATTAAATCGGAACTTATGTTAATTTTGTGTAAAGATAATAACAAAAAGACTTCAATTTCCAAAACCATTTAAAGAAAGAATACGAATATTATTGACTGTGTTTCTCAAATGCCCCAAATACAAATCAACCCAAAATTCCAACAGACGTGTCTCCTCACTGGGTAAAGCCACAAGTACAAAACATTCTGTACAAACTAAATCAACATCCCTATACATTTAGAATGTGAGATTAAAAAAAGAAAACCCTTATTTCCTAAAACAATATATATGTGCATGTATGTATGTATGTATGTATGTATGTATGTATGTATGTATGTATATTCCATGTAGTATTGCTTACTAGTAATTTGGTGTAGTAGTATCACAGGCGAAGGCAACTGTGCTAGCTGACTATATTGTTCTTTCATTTTCTAAGCTTTCATGGATATAAGTGAGACAACATCAAACTTTCTCGGCAAAACCAGAAACTGCAACTTTCTATGCAACTTTAATGTGTTTCTTGCCATGAAGATCCGTCACAAGATCACGTAACTCGGGGAAAATTGATACGATTACAAGTTCTAATATCGCATAAGCAAGTTGCTTAATGCATATAGTTGACTGCAATAGAAATGTAACCGGGAAGTATAAAAGAAATTAGGGGAAATATCAATGTGCATAGAAGAAAATGGCAGCAGGATAAAAACTCAACCTGAGTGAAAAAATAAATGTCTCTCGCACACTGTCTGTATTGCTTTTGCCCGATTAAGCTAACTAATGCTGTCGGAGCTCCATCTGACAAAATTGTTACTCTTTTAGTGGTTTTCACAATTAATTACGGTTTAGCTCCCGGTAAATATAAATGAGACATGTTTAATGAATTTAACAAACATAAATCATCACAATGAACATTTAAGGACTTGGGAAAATCTAGTTAGAAATATAATCATTGAACTCCTGACCAAGGATTTATATCATTTGAAGCAATGATCAAGTGAATTGCAAGCATATAAACTACAGATCCAAAAGTCAGGGAAGGTTTTCACTATGATCTGACCCCAAAAAACCTTACCGAAAAGCATTTTTTTGATGTAGTTTGCTCTACGAGAAGCCTCGAGTTGTTCCTCAAAGGACCCAGGTTTATTGACATTACTCCCACCAAATTGACTGATGTTGTGCAGAGGTGTCTGGTTAGGCTGAATATTATCAAAATTTCTCTGCATGTTCGCTGTTTTTGTAAAGAATGTACCACCTGGCCACAGAATCTGGGAGAAAAACGTGCTATCAAAAGAAATAGAATACAGGGGGTTTTGCAAAACAGAAACCCATCTAAAAGTTTATATGCAAGTAGAACCAGCTCTAAATGGCAAAACTCATGCTTTTACAGCAACGACTCCTAAGCCAGTTAACACTCTAGTTATAATGTGGCTAATTTGTTCAGTTCTTACATCTTGAATCCATCGAATCCCTTGGGTAATAGTGTCCTCCCTGCGAAGCCAATAAATCTTCCTCATAAGCCAGTCACCGATGGCATCCTCCATCACCAGGTGTAATATTTGCTTCGATATCCAAAAGGCCTGTCTTCTGCATCAAGGAAAAAATGCACATGTTTATGCCAAATTATTCTGGAAATAAGTACTTTTAGATCATCAAAGCACACCATTACAGTTTAACAGGATCACATTGTCTGAAAGACCAGACAGTTGTTACTGGCTAAAAGTAAACAAGAAAAAGGATTGAAGCAGAACTAATCAATGGCAGTAACTAATACCTCTAAACCAAGGCTAAGGTAGTGTTTCATTTTGCAACCTGCTTCAGAACTTAAACAGACAAAAGATCCACTAGACACAATACTACCTATCATACAAGATTGAACTGAAAACTCATGATGTTGTGGAATTGAAGTACTAATCAAGCTTTATCCCTTCCATTTAAATAAACATTGACAAATTATGAACATTATCTCAAAGATTCTCAGTTAAGGCAATTCAATCTTGTAAATAATCCAAAAATAAGCAAAAGGTCATAAACAAAATCAAGTTCATTTATATGCTATTCATTAGTTTGTTACAATCATGATTGGTTTCAATGATCGAATCATCTATTACACAAAATTCATTTTGCAGAAAGGACATGATTATGATTAAAGTACAAAATTTCTAACTACTGGAGAAAATCGCGGGCTGAAGAAAACTAGATGCAACTAGAAAATTTTGATTTTTTTTTTATTTCAAGTTATTCGAGTTTAGTTGTTTGAGTTATTCGAGTCAACTTACATCAACCAATCCTAGTCTACGAAATAGCAATGTCTACTACTTGAATGTACAGAGCCCTTTAATCAAGATGACAGATAAAAAAAAAATTAGAAATATAAAAAGAAATACAAGGTACAATATTAGTTTTAGGATAATATTTATAATTTCTAAATGGTAGAATATGACATTTAGCAATTAATTAATCCACAGCTATGGAAATAAGGGAAAACTAGCTCACCTTAGCCAGCCTCTTCTCTTAAGTTGAAACACGTTATCAACTAGATTCAACAAAGGTACACTCACCTTAGGTGGTGTCCACTGCACAAAAATCAATCGGTAAACATTCAAAAATTCCAAAAATGAAAAAAGCTCTTATATAAAATAGTGTAAGCTTAAAAAATATGAAACTTTTCAACTAAAAGATCATTAACAATCGCAATGAATCAAAGCCAGATAGACACCGTGGCACCTAGAGAATTAGTGCAACCAACCAAGGAATTTGATTTCCTAATAATCATACTTTTGCTTGAGATTCTTATGAAAGCAATCCAAATTTTTATTGACAAAGTTGACATTTTAGAAGAGTGCTCTCAAAAGAAAACAACAGAGACAAATCATGATACCTCTGGGGGCACTCCAACTGGATCCTCCATATGGCTTGACGTTCCTGAAAATTTTGTTGAAGAACCACCCTGGCCAGACAATTCAGGTTTAACACCTAAATCATGTTTCTCAGAGATTAAATTCCCAGATCCTCCACCATGCTCTATCCCTCTTGGAGGCAAACCCATTGAGTTTAACTCACAGTCTGGGTGCCAAACATGACCTTGGCAACCAGATCTATCATCCTCATGACCATGGCTACTGTCTTTAGTATCACTTTCTTCATTATCAGAAATGCTGTTCGCCGTCTCCAAAATACTTTGCCTTGAAATGTCTTTAGCAATCTCATCTGCGGTCCATGATAAGGACCTGCCAGAGCCTGAAGGAGAGGCTTCACTAAGGGGAGAAGATGAACCGACAACTTTGCTTATTCCACCATCTGATACTCCTCTAAACTGGCGTACAACATCACCCGTAGCATCATCCACATTTACTGTTCATAAACAAGAGAATTGGAAATGGTCAAGAAGTAATCTAATAAAACAATCCAGGGTATGTGAAAATGGCATGATAACCAGAAACAGAAACAACCTACCTGAAAGGGTTCTCATCACCGATGAAGATTTTCCAAAAGAGTAGTTCTTCAAAAGCAAATGTCACCCGCAATTAGAATGAGATGTCATTCGTCTTAATTCCTACATGTAGAAAACAAAAGTGCACCCAATGTGATATGAAGAAGATACACACCTTTGAGGAAACACTTAAAAAGTCCCACACTTCATGTTGTTCAGCCACATTAGCTATAGACAACAGATCCTGCAGATAGGCGCTTAATTGAAGCACAGGTTGAAAGTAAACATCCTACAAAAATAGAAAGAAGAAGAAAGAAAGGTTAGGAAGTAAAATTACTTCCAGATACTTGTCAAGCTGAATGCATCGTTTGTGAACAAAAGAGTCCTCGGTGCTTGATGAAAATATCCTTTTGGGAGGCAAATGTAATGTATAATTAGGAATTTCTTTAAGATGTCGATGCAATAGTTCAAAATTTCTGTATCTGCAGATCAGAAAAAGAAAAAAAATTGATATTAGAGAAGAAGAAAAATCAAATTATTATAGTTTTCCATTATTCATTTGTGAGAAATGGGCCCTTAAAAAATGACTCTTTTGTTTACCACACACACACACACATGTACACAAGCAGTTGGGGTGAGATAAAACCTTCTCTTAACAAACCAAGTTCTGTTTTCTGCATCTGTCACAGCAATTGAATAAACTGCAAAAGATTTTGATCCAAGTTTCTCAACGTATGCTCCAATAACCTGCAGAGAGACAGGAATAGCAAATATAATTACAGATCACATAAAATGTCTATGGCTACAATTAAACACCAACAAGCACATGAATCTGTTTTAATTTATATCCCATGCCACTTATGAATTCAACAGGCAGTTCAAATTTCAAATTCTCAGAATTTGTAGCAATATAGACAGGAATGCTCACCCGACACCTAAGCTTGGGTATGTGAGACTCCTCACTGCGAAGTACTGCATTTGAGGTAACCCTACCACTAGATTCTTCACTATGCCTACCAAGATCAGAGCTGTAGAACTCAGAAATAATTGGTTCTCGAATATCTCCTGTAAATGCTTTCTTTGTATCAGGTTCAACAATAAAATCGGAGGAACTACTGCATCTCTTAAGCCTACTTTTATTTCCATCAGCAGATTGTTCACTAGCATCATTAAAATTATTAGCATGATGATCTCCACCAAATAACAATGAGGTATTAAATTCTGAAGCCAACTTTGTGCCTGTTGTGCTACCATCACATAATTGAGCGTCAAGATTTAAACCAGGCATTAGCTGCATCACAGTTCTCTCTTCACTTCCTGCAGAAGTTCCAATCATGTTGGTAGAGATTTCACTTCCTGGGTTCCCCATCAACACAGCAACCTTAGGAATAGATTCTTGAGATCTTGCTTTTATAGATTTTTTCTCCTTCTTTTTGTAGTTTCTTCCTTTTGTCCACATGTTTTCAAGATTTTCAGGGGCAAGAACTTCAGTTCTTCTCTGAGTTGCTGCCTCTAATTTTCGAGCCCAGTCAGCTGGTCTAGATTGCATTGATTCTTCCTCATATCTGTTACAATCTGAATATATTTCTTTCTGATTGTCAGTTCTAGCCAACATCAAATCTGTTCCCTGACTATTTAAGGATGCAATTTTCCATGAGGTAGAGTCATCTGCGCGTACTTCAACTGAAGACTGATCAAAACCTTCCATCGCGTTAATCATATTATCTTTAACGGCAAGTAGAACAGATTCAATTACTTCATTGATATACCTGACAACATAACATAAGTAGGAAAAATAAATGATAGAATGAGGCATATTTGCTAAGGCAAGCACCATATGTTATACCAAGGAAGAATGGACCATCATGAATAACCTTTTAGGTATTCTCTCTTCTTTTGCCTACAATGAGCAAGAGTAAGATTCTAACCAAGAAACCACTCTAGTTGTATAATGTCCTTCCATGCCAGATGGCTTCTATTCTAATTGTGCCACTCTTTCTAAAAACCAAATAAACACAAAATAAGAGTGCATGTCGAAATCAACTGTCAAAATTCTTAAACCTAAAAGTTTAGGCAGTCTCTAAACAGCACTGTAGTTTTATATTAAGTACTAACTGCATCTTCTGCTACCTTGAAATTAAACAAACAATAAACCATAGCTCAATAACCTACCCAGGGCTTGCCAAATTCAAAAGAGGTTGCACAACCACGCAAGTAACAATCTCACAAGCAATAGTACGAACCAAAGGACATTGAGCTTCTCGTGGTCTTAATACTACTGCTAAAACTCCACCAATAAGCCGTTGAATAACCTGAAAATGAAAGTACAAGGAATTAAACAAAAGCAAACCACAAAACCTAAAGGCAAAATATGTTTTGATTGGAAATTTGGAACACTCAACTCACACCTTGTACTCACTCTCTGGTGAAATTAGTGCAGGATGAAGCTCTTCAGAATCCATAAGATGGTGTTTCAATCTTTCATCCCTTTCTTCAGATGACAATGTTACCATAACATCAACACCTATTGCAGCTTGGTTTCTTCTAAAAAGATCCAAGTGATCTCCTATCAAATCAACTATATCCCTGGAACATTAAACAACTGTTTAAAATCCTTTTAACTTAAAAAAAATCGTGAACAAATATTTTACAATTGACAAACCTTCTTAAACCAAAAAATCTACCTTGTAAGCAAATCAACAAGGTTTATCTCTTTCGCCCTTCCTGATATTTCACCTATAGCATCCAAAATCACATCACGTATCAACTCAGGGGCCTCCCTATCTGGAGTAATCTCCGAATACCATAAATCAACAACAAAATCCTTGAGTATTTTATCAAGAAGCTCATTGAGAGCAGCCTCCACAATAGGAGAATCAATTTTCCGCTTCCACTTGATCGGAGAAGGTGAGCTGGAAAGACGAGAATCATTCAAGGACAACTGTTTCTTCTCCAAATGAGACAAATAAGATGGACGACGAACTGTTTTAACTTTCCATTTGAACTCAACCTCATTAACCATAAACCGCAATCCGGCAACAAAAAGAATCGCTATAGGTAAATTCATCCACATTGATGTACTCGTATCTACAACCATTAACAAAAGCAAGAAAATTACTTATAATCAATTCTAAGAACTTCAATTCATTAATTAATTTAAATTTAAAATCTAACATTCAATTTATTCCAATTAAAATGGAATAGCCTAAAGAACTTCAAAGCAAAGAAAACAATTCTACGAAAACAAAGTATCCATGCAAAGTAAAATCAAAGAATTAGACAAAATTAAACCGCAAAAAGAAAAGAAAAGAAAAGAAAAGAAAAACTTACGAGTCAAGAAGTATGTCACGGTAAAGGTAGCCAACGTCCACCAAACCGTCCGTACTTTGGCTTCTTCGATCAGATCCTGTATCGTTTCCATCGGCTTCATTTTCCAGCTTTTCTTTTCTTTTATTTTTTCCCTCTCTCCGATTCTATTTTCTTCCAATTCGCGGAATTCAATCTCTTGATTTTCAAGAATTTTTCAATTCATTTTCTTATCCCGGAGGAGAAAAAACTAATAGTCGGAAAAGAAACAGGAAAATGATTGAATCTTTCTTCTTCGATCAGCTTCCAGCAGGGTTTAATTTGGAATTAGGCGCAACGAAGAAATAAAATAACAGAGGAGAGGGAAATGAGAGTATCTGGAATTTGTTTTCCTTTTACTAAATATATTTGAAAAAGAAAAGAAAAATAGTAACGTTTTTGGGAGATTATGATCGGGTGCGGACATACGACGTTAGAGTGTTTTCTCCCAAATATCAACTGGCCTGTAGAGTCTTGCCACGTATTGAATTTGACATGTTTATCCCCTAAATTTCCATATTTATTTTCTCGACGTAAGTTCACATGGACATCGCTAAGTTTAGGTTGTCATCGAAATATAATACAAACCAAAATACGGTTCCAAGTGGATACAATAAGGCTTCGGTGAGGCCGATGACGCGTCCAATGTAAAAAAGACTGAATACTATTAGTAGATTTTTTTTAAGAAAGTACGTGAATGCATTAAGAAAAAGTAGTGTCCCAAAATACGTAGTTTGAAAGAAAATGTGGAACATTATAAGTAGAGGACATCGATGTAGATGTGGACGACTCGACGCCCAATTTGCAAGATCATGAGTGCTGGAGTTAGCCAATCGTCGAACATAGTGGATTTTAATATGAGGATTAGAATCTATTAGTTAGTGAGCTTCAACCAATGATAACTCGTCACGGACAAATCAACCCGTCGATTTAGCAATTGGCGAACCAAATTACAAGTATCGCTCTCAATAATAACCTGCGGAAATTGAAGATCAATTAAGAGACGGATACCTACCAGAAGAGCATGAACCTCGACGATAACCGAGTCACTATAAACAGCAACAATCGAGGTTTGCCCCTCAAGAACAAATTCACTATATTATTTAATAAAATATAGGTAAAATATGCAATTAATCTCTCAATTATAAAGTATTTTTTTATTAAATTATAAAAAATAGAAAATAGTAGTAGTTGATTTATGATAAGTTAATAAAATTATTATAATTATAAATCTAATTTTTAATTAAAAAAAATCAACTCTCCATATTATAATTTTATATCAATTTAATTCTTCTAGTAATTCATTTTTTTTAGTTTTTCATCTTCAAAGCCACCATTAACTATAACTCTTTTTTGTTGGAAAAATCCGAAAATTTTGGATATTTATATGAGAAATTGATTCAAATGTTGTTAAGGAAAAAATGTTGAATCAATTGTTGGTTCATACATGTGCAAACGGGCACGATGTGGGCCAGAAAGAAATAAATCGTTAAATTTATTTTTTTGAAAATCTTGATATGTTTGTAAAGTGAGATATTGAAAGTAAATTTATTTTTTGAATTTAATTCCTTCCATTTTAATGAGTTTATTTGATCTACTTTTACAAACAAGAAGAAATAAATATTTTATTACATTCATTGGTGATAGAAAAAAGTATTGTTATATATTTGCAACATAGCAAAAGTGAAGCTATAGAGAAATTTATTCTCTATAAACGCAAAGTTGAAAATCAACTTAATAAAAATATTAAGATAATAAGAAGTGATTATGGTGGTGAATAAATTGAACTATTAATTGGTCAATAGTGTGATATTATTCATAAAGGGACACCATCATACTCTCATAAATTAAATGAAGTAGCAAAACGGAAGAATTAATTCTTAAAAAGATCAACTTAAAAAAATATTAAGATAATAAGAATGATTATGGTGGTGAATAATGAACTATAATTGGTCAATAGTGTGATATTATTCATAAAGGGACACCATCATACTCTCATAAATTAAATGAAGTAGCAAAACGGAAGAATTAATTCTTAAAAAGAAATGATGAACGCAATGATAAGAAGTTCTGATTATCACAAAACATGTGGGGAAGCTATTCTGTCAGCTAATTAACTTTTAAATAAGGTTTTTCGGAAAGGAAAATGTTAGCTTTATCGATCAATCGAATGATGGCGAGAGGGGGTGAATTGGCCTTTTAAGAATTTTGGTGGAAGTAATCGAAAGATAAAAATTTTGCACACCGATTTAGAATGGTTCGACTTTCTCAACTAAAGTATACATCCACTACCTTAACATCGACGCTAAGGATTTCTCAAATCCACTAGATTTGCTTATCTTTGAGGACAAGGTGTAACCTTACAACAACCCACAATGCTTATACCCCAAAACCTTATTTACACTCTTTCCACAAGGGGAATTACAAATGAAGCAACCAAAGAGAAAACTTCACAAGACAAATATGTTTGCACTAATTAAGCTCTCACCCAAATCACACTTGAGTAAAATAAACAATGAAGTTCACAAGTGTGTTTGCAAGAAAGAATTTGACAAATTAAGCATAAAACAAAATTTTGATGTTGGTAGATTGGTTCAATATGTTTCTTGTTGACCTTGGGAAGCTTTGACCTTCAATTTATACTTTCGCCATTAATTCTAGCCGTTTGGAGCCATTGGGGATCATTATAGCCGATATCTACAACCAAAAACAACATTTAATACATAAGGGATCAATCCTTTAGTTAAAGAGATCGATATTTTTTCAAATAATTTGACTGTTACAAGAAAGAGATCGATTCTTTAAAGGAAAAGATCGATCCTTTTGGTGAAGGGATCAAACCTTTGTACAAGGGATCAATCATTTGAGCCAAAAATCTTTGGAAACTCAACTTTAAAGCGCCAAAACGATCGAGTATGTTTTTGATAAATTTAATTAAGTCTAAAATCTTTTTAATAAATTCAATTAAGTCCAAAATCAATTTTACAATTTTTATATCAAAATCTTCAGTCAACAATCTCCCCCTTTTTGATATAACAAAGCTTTTTGCAAATTTGTTTTTGAAAAATGCTCCCCTTAGAAAAATAATAAAAGGATTTATGAATTAAAAACTTTAAGCTCCAATTTTAATTAAAAATATTTTTTTTTCATTTTACACATACTTCTCCCCCTTTTTAATATAAAAAATAATTCATAATGTTAGAAACAATATAAAAAAGAGATAAAGTAAATAAAATAAAGCTAAAAATAATTAAACACATGGAGAATTATATATGAAGCATCAAGGTACTTTAACATAAATAGATATATCAATACAAGGCATAAAGTACTAAAGTCATAAACATTCAAATAACCAATTAAAATATTCAAGTACTAAATACCAAATAAACATCAAAGATCCAAAATAGCAGTAGCAAAGTCTAAAAATCCAATAACAAGATGATATGATATGCATGCATAAACTAAGATAATGATGATGGAGGGAAGGAAAAATCTATTAAGCTGATGTTGAATCGCTCGAACCTCCTCAATCATACGAGCCTCAAAAGCATCCTGACGATGCTCGATGGCATCAAAATGAGAGTCGACATGGTCTCGTAAAGAGTCAAAAGACTGAAGCATCCTCTCTTTAAATCCTCGAAAGAAATCAACATGAGGTGCTGGGTTTACGTGAGTCACTCTCTCTGGCTTCTTGCCAACATCATCGTCATGAGCATCATCCATGTGCTCATCTCCATCGTTCTCATCATCCATATACTCACCGTGAAGACTACGAACCAAATGCATGGATCCCTTGGGATCATTCGAGTAGCCAATCTTCGCCATGGTGCTACGACCAATGGTCCTCTCATCGGAAGGGAAAGTGTCATGCTCGTAAGAAGTGTCGATGTCAAGAAGGTCGAACAAATGGCTAAGGTACATCTCATAGATAAAATTCAATCGAGCCTTTGATTTGATCACACTCGCGATATTGTTGAAGATCATGCTAGTAAGGTAAAGCTCATGACTTTGTTGGATGCGATACATCCACCAATAGTTGTTCTTAGAGAATTTTGTGCATCGAGTACTGATAACTCCGTAAAAAGGCTATATTTGAGGCCTTTTTACTTAAGTTATTGATTGTCTTAAGGCTCATATAGGTTTATTTGAATGCATTTAAGAGCATGTAGTTGCATTTGGTAGATTTATTTTACCTTAGCATTTTATTTTGTGAATGCTGCTATTTCACAGGGAATGTTTGGTTTGGATGTTGATGTGTAAGAGTTAAATATATTTTCACACAAAGACAACTGTCAATTGATCATGTGTTCTTTGCCGCTAGCCACACAAGAGGGTCCCACCGCCACCTATTGTACAACCCCTCACATGTGAGGAATATACCTTAGGGTACCTTTGTAATTTTGGTACAAAATCCTAGGTATATTCCCTTGGTGTATATAGATTATGCCAGCACAAATGAAGAAAATAATATTTTTTTGAAAAAAACCAAATTGAACAAGAGAATAGAAGGCAACATCAAGCTTCCAACTTTTTTTTCTTTCTTTTTCTCATCTCTTTCATGGTTTTCTTCCATTTTCAAGCTTGAGGAAGTGGCGATCTAGGCGTCCGAGAGGATCTAGCACCACTAAGGTGGTTAATGGTGGACGAGGGAGCTCCGACAACGCACGTTGGGAATTTTTTTCTCCACCCTTATGCTTTTTTTTATTCATGTTTATGGGTTGTAAGGAACGAATTATTTTCATGGATTATTCGAACCCCACCATGAACTAAACTTTATTTGGTGGGGTTTATCACAGATGATTAAGTTTTTTCTTTAATGGATGGTTAATATTTTCACTTTTATTACTTGTTTTGCTTATTTTTTTAATTACTTAAGATTATAAAAGCTATGAGAGTAGTCTTTTCTTAAGTATACTACTTTGTGTTCAAGAGAAACTATGTTATTGATCTTTAGTGTTCGAGAGAATCTAAAGGAAACTATACAAAAGAAATAAAGAAGTAAAATAAGCATGATAAAACTATTAAACTTTCAGTTGCCAATCACCGGTAACTTTTCAATGATGCATACAAGTTATCTTCTCCGACATGGTTAAGGATTTTCTAGAAATTTTTATGGATGACTTCTCCGTTTCTTGAGATAACTTTGAGAAATACCTTGGCAATCTGGCACGAGTGCTCAAGAGATTTGAGGAGACTAAACTTGTACTTAATTGGGAGAAATGCCACTTCATGGTGATTGAAGGTATTGTGCTGGACCACAAGATCTCGCACAAAGGCATTGAGGTGGTAAAGCCAAAATTGACGTGATTGAGAAATTGCCTCCACCAACCTCTTCCAAGGGCATTAAGAGATTTCTTGGACACAGTGGTTTTTATAGGAGATT